GATTTATAAACCTGTCGCAGGTTTTGTTGTGGGCAAAGGTTGAGCATATCAAAACCATGTAGTCAGACTCGCCTCAAAAAGGGCCCTGCGGCAGTCTCACAAGATATTATGTTTTGCTGAAGTTTGTGAGCCCCATGATCAGGGCATTAAAAGAAGTGTTGTTTGGATCCATGTATTCTAATACTGCACAGACTGGAGCTGTTTCTCCATGATGTTCATCTGAGAATCGCTGATGGTGAAAATGTGGCATTTCACATTTCCAGAGCCAGACGTCTTTCAGTCGATCTCAAGGAAGACACTGTCTTTGGTGTTAACAAGACAGACGCGGTGCCATGGAGCGAAGGTCCATGAACAACCCAAATTTGTGGTCTGTGTGGAACCTTGTGAGGGCCATTTTGGTGGAGACGTCTTTGGGCTGAAAGTACCGGCTGATCTCCTGCAACAGATCCTGTGCCTCAATGCCATTATTGTAGATCTTGTTGGATCTAATGTCCTTGAGCGCCCAGCACTGAGGGTTCATTCTGATGTGGAGCCTGCTGTCCATGTCTTTTGAAAAGGTTACCACCTCTTCTCACATGATATGATCGTATGTGAACTCCTGGCAGCTGTTGTACACGCTTGTTGCCTTGTCTGCCAATTTCAAGCTGCGCATTGTCTCAAACTCTATCTGAATGTTTGTCAGCTTGTAGACCAGCTTTGATGTGTCTGAGCCTTTCACAACCTGTGAAGCCGCCACAAGCGTCAGTTCGCAAACAAGATTGTTGTAGAGGGCCTGCGTGTAGAAAACCATGTGATTGTCCAGAATCACAGCTGATTGGTGCAGCTGGATGATGTAGTTCTTGCCAAAGACAACATCGAGAGCTTTGACAGCATCCACACCCGATGTTTTTGTCACCCGCATCCCTTCCAGCAGCATGTTGTTTTCGCACACATGATGAAGTAAAATGGCGATGTGAACAGTTAAAACATAGCCGGTTTATTAAACTCAGAATCTTAATTCAAAATATAAATACCAACTCTTACTAAACATGTATTGCCTGCAAAGGTGAGGGCAATCAAACTGTGACAACACTAACATCACCACTGAACAAGAAAAAAAGGCAGGAGCTGGGGAGAAGGTGGGTCAATGGAAAAGATTGTGTCAACGAAATCAAAACCACAACATCCATTATATGAAGATTCATGACTACAACATCGACTACGACATTATTTGTGCACATCATGGCGGATTCAAAATTCAAAACTTTCTCCTCGGTACCAAGCTCCCAACCTCTCGTCACGTAATGGCAAATCATTACTTAAATGCATGGTTCAATTGTCACAGAAAATTTTATTTGCAAGCAAATAATGTATATGTCCTCTTTGAACATGCTGCCAAGTGCACCCTCTGAGAAACTCTATCCAGAGTTGCTGTCTGGCAACTTTCGGTTGTCTCGAATTGACGACATCGAAAAACAAATCTCTGAAGAATCAAGAACTACAGAAAAGTCACTAAAAGATACAAGAAAGCACTGACCGCCATGCGCTACACCGCCATCCGTTTGGGCTTTCTCTCGGCCGCTCTCTCAACCGCTGGCGTTGCCTTGAGCCTTACATGCCCTGGAATCATTGTTAGCGCCCCTCTTGGTGCTCTTGGAGCATTTTGTGGTGCTGGACTACAAACCGCCATCCGTTTGGGCCAAACACAATTCCATTAATGCTTGTTTCGAAAAGTCTGAAAATAAAATTGTCCGTGACAATTGCGTTGTGACATTGCGTTACATCTATTGCGTGATTGTCACGCGTGACATTACGTGACACTTCACAAAAAATAACAAAATTCCTGACAGGGAGGCAGTAGTGGTAGCCGTTTTTGTCCCATTTTACCTCTGGGACAGAGTTACACAGCGACTACGAACTATGGCTGCCAGTATTTTGCATGTGATCTTATCTTTAGAATAATGAACGAATTCTTCCGTGTTTGCGGAAGCAACGTCGAGTGAAAGTGGTTAACAAAGTTTTGGTTGCACAGTTTTTATTTTTCCGCAGAAGTAGTAATAGTTCATTTATTAGATTTCGAAGATGAACTTCTCCAATTACTGATATACTAGTAGTTGAATTATCGACATGCCGAGTTTTGATTATCTCAAAGATGTTATATCATTTTCATTCAGGAAATGCGATAAAAAAACTGGCATAAAAAAGGTTACGTCAGAAGAAAAACACCAATCATTTCGAATAAACTTTGAAACTTTTAAAAGTGCGAAGACAAAATAAATTACCTGCATGATTTCTTTTCTCGGCGGTCAATCTGAATTCTGCGTTTAAACAGGTAGGTTATAGATTTAAATAAAAATGTAGTCACAACTTTCCTAAATGGTTCATGTATATTAAAAGAGTAAATCTGAACAGAAATTAGACACAACCTACATATTTCGCTTGCATCTCACTTAAAGCAGGTGAATTGAAAACATTTTTATGAAAGAACGAGATTCTAGAAGTACGAGAAGGCAAAATCCGAGCGAAGTGTTCTCCGTAGTTGCCACTACCCAAAACAACAGTCACGTCACAGTCACGTTTTTCATCAGACCATCGGCGAGGTCAGCGGAACTACAGCGGGTATTGCGAAACGGAACTGGCGAGGCGCCCCGCCCTCTAACAGTGATATTTTTTGCGGGCGCTGTTCACGAAGTAGTATATGGAAGATTAATAATGTGAAGAGTTTGATTTGCTTGAGGACTCTCCGACCTCACGCAAATCAAACTCTTCACATTTCAATCCGCCTTATACTACTGTACCTATACATACAACCTTTACTTGCCGTGTGGCACAAAATTTTTGCGGTTTTTCCAGCGATCCGCAAAAATAAGTTCCCGCGAATACCAATTACCGCAAACATTTTTCCCGCAAAAAGTTACTCCAGAGTAAATATTCTCCAACTTATTTTCGCTACACAAAAATACAGTACTAAGAAATCGTGTCTTTTCAATCACAACTCGTCTCTTTCATTCAGAAACAACGAAATGATGGTTTATTGCTTGAAAATTTGTGTTTCTATTACACGTACTCAGGAAAAACGAAAATATTATCAATGCTATGTACAGGGTACTTTCTAAAAACCGCAAAATTTAATTCCCTGGAAGAAAAACCAATCTGTCCTAATCGCAAAAATTAGTTCCCGCAAAACACAAAAAATCGCCAATCGGCAAAAATAAACTCCCGCAAAAATTTCATGCCACACGGTATACATGATGAAAGTCAAAGCTTACAGCTTGTGTGGTCGTGTAATAAAAGAATAAGCAAACAATTAGAATAAAAAACAATTAAAATATTGAGTAATGCTACTTGACAAGGGTAGATTATCAACAGCCTTACATCCAAGATTCTTGTTAAAGTAGAAATTATGGCACATGACAAGGTTAATATTTGTTTTAGCTTTCAAGATGAAACTGCAGCACCAGTGTTTTTAGCTTTAATGTTTGCCGCCTTCCATAACCAGTCTCGTCTTCTAAGTATGGCCCATGATTTAAACAAAATGTTTAAACGGTTTATGAAATTCTATCGTTAACTGAGGTTAGTGTGGTAACCTTTGGGTGAATTCAGCTCACTAAAAGGACCTGGACATTTTTCTAAGTTAGAAAACAATCATGCAAAAAAACTGTTGACCGTTTGTCGTTAGTCGGTTAACCCCATTCTGACCCTCACAGACTCATTGTAATCGTGTTGTTAGCAGTGGGTTCTTTGGCATTTAGGCTTTTTGAGTAAGAACGAACTTTTAGAAGAGCATCCTTCACTTCAAATAAAGCGCACTACGTACTACTGTGCAGTCTTTGGTGTATTATGAATGTTGCAGTTCGCAACAAGAGCTAAAAAACGCCTAAAGTCAGTTATCCGTGGATAACAAAGGAAGTGTTTTCTATGCTTATTCACTGCACAGTAATTTCCATCCTAGCCTTGTGTTTATTTTGATGATATGCGTATTCATTTAATTACAGGTAGAACAGGTCGTGCTGAGAGACCAGGGAAAGCGATTACGTTTTTTACAGAAGACGATGCGACCAACTTACGGAGGTACACGTGGTGCAAGTTATTTTGATTAGCCTTCGTCACACCTTTCAAGACTGTAATGTCCTCAATAGAAAAGGGGGTTTGAACGAAAGTTAAGGTATTGATTACATCTGTACTACAACAAGGTTTTGCCTCTCCAAAAAGCAGGAGGAAGATCAAATTGGAAATCAATCCGGTAATTCGCTCATCTGTCTGTTACTCGGTAGTCTGTAAAGCGTAAAAGAGGGGACTTTCTTCTATAGAGAAGTAGAAAAGTGGCCTTGATTTTGATGAACATTGATTCTTTGAGATAAAAGAAGTTCTCATGCACAATGAGGTCATTAGGACCTTGATGTTCAGTTATGACTTCTCGGTAAGGAATAAACCTGCCCAGTTCAACACCATAAGCTCTCCATGCTCTAATTCCTTCCACTTCAAACTTGAAATTGTGATACTCGCTGAAACCTTCTATCTTATGTACTTCGACTGTCTTTTGAGCCTCATTAATTGCGCACACGGAGGCAGTTGTACCTTTACCAGGGCGTTCTGAGAGCGCTACACGCCATGTCTTTGGCAGAAACAACATCGTGTCCCTCATTGCAATATCGTCGGATAGATGATTTCATTGTACAAAGGATTCTATCACAGATAGCTCTTCCATACTGCGGCTCGGAAAAGTAATACCGTGCTACTTCAATGCCTACTCGTCTTCTGGTGTCATTGTGGTAACAGTCTGCTTCGTCACTCCTTAGGTTCACTTGGGTAATCTGGGGATATTCTTTCGTTTCAACCTCAAGTATGTTTTTGGTGATCAAGCATACTGCGTACCAGTCTTGCTGGCGAGAGTCGAAGATATGAGCATACGATTTCAGCTCAATTTTTCCAGAGTCAACATTCTTAGTTATAAGGGTGGAAATATGCCAGCTCACCCCTCTTTTTCCGAACCATTCAGACTGTTTCTCACGAAATTTTATTTAGAGGAACTTCATAGCCCACTCCATGATCAGAATGGCTGACTGTGGCTCTTCTGATTTTAGTGCATCTTGTTTCACCTTCTCCTTATTTATTGAGCGCACGATGTGCGTTTTCCACAACAAGATGTCTAACTGTGCACGGTCAAAGTCGTAAAGGACATCTTCTCGTTGTTCGGAACTGTAAGGCTTCCATGATGACCTTCAATCGCTATCCTCACTTCCTTTGGAACATCCTTCAGCCCTTGAGATTGCTCGCAAGTCGATTGATGCTGATGTGGACAAGGATGCCGGAGCTCGGGATCAACAGGATCACTAAGCGCAAACTTTCTACAGTGGTCAACGCAAGTAGGGTAATACTCTTGACACTGCACACGGTAGTCAGTTTTGAGATAGCGTTTAGCATCGCGTAGGTTTTGGCAAATACGTAGACACCACTGTTTTTGCATTCCTCCTTTCTCAAGAGTTTCAACCCGCGTCTCCATAGTCTGAAAGCCTCCAGCACCATCTGCAGCCGTATTGTCTAAGCCCTGGAGCGATTAACACTGAGACGCTTCTCGAACCTCCAATATTTTAAGACAGAGTAGACCTACTAAGTGGCTTGTGACATTGCTCTTTACAATACTCCAAGTATTACTCAATCATTGTAGACCTGGGTAGGATCCTTACAACGTTAGGCATCTCAGTTCTGTCACCATTATCTAGGGTGAGTACCTTGTTACCATTTGAAACATCCTGATAAAAATACGGTCTATCAATGAATTCTACAAAGTGGTCGACCTTCCCCATATCAAGGCGTACGCGATGCTTCGTCTTGATTTCAGGGATGGTCCCAGGGCCGTGCATTTTAGCATGAGAACGTGCTTGCTTTATTTCCGATGTAGAGAGACTTCCGGGAGGTTGGTGAATTTTCTTCAGCTTGGTCATAGGGTATCTATGAGCGTAAAGGCACAATATCTGTTTCTTTAAATTCCTGGCCTTTGTGTTCTTTCGTTAAGCAGTCATGAGTACCACAAGGTCACCGGGGGCTGAGCCATCAAATAATTCTCCTTGTACAGACATCATTAACTCGAAGAGCTCCTCCCTGTTACTTGGAGCAATTACATTACATACGTGCAAGCAGTCGTCTTTAGCCTTTTTTACAACTTTCAACTGTTCCCCATCGCTGAAGTTTTGGAACGAAGGTGTCAGCTGATATTTAAGAGACTCGCGTTCTACTTGTTCTTGTGTAATAAGACTCGCAATTGTATCCATCGCCTCGTTATACCTGTTGTTCCCGCAAACCACAAAAAATCGCCAATCCGCAAAATAAAGCAACCGCAAAATTTTCATGCTACACGGTAGAAATGGAAAGGCTGCTACTTAGTTGCCTTGCCATAGGATAACCTGACAGGATAACCATGTGTGTATTTTTTATAAAAGAAGAACCAAACGACTACTCTCCCGACAGCACATCTCCCTCAGTTTCCTCAGGGTATAGCCAGTCTGATTTCCGATCTAATTCTTCACGGTGTTTCTTTCTGCACGTTGTGAAAAAGCTAGTAACAAAACGAAACAAAGAATAGTTTTGCAACCTGGAAAGACATTAAAAAATACCAGATTTACTACTAAGTTGATAAAAGAAGCTATATCTTCTTGAAAATTATATTATAAAGGCTATAAATCAGCGACCAGATTTATAGATGACGCACAGCAAAGAACTATTGCTAATGAACTACAAAAACCAAATTGTGATCATTTGATATGTTATTTGTTTGAAAATGATTTTCTGGCTGCAAAATACTATCAAATACGGGATCGATCGTTTATCGTTCAGAAAATATATAGAATGAGACTTCCCCTCAGTCTATAGCTCGCTTTTAAGTAATTAGATTATGAACGAAAGTATTTAGTTGAAATGTTAAGGTAGACAAAACCTTTTAATTGTGATATGTTAATTATAAAATGAAAGGATAGTATTCACGCGAGCTAACGGGAACGGTTTCTCCAAAGATATTCTTTGTTTCCCTTGCGGTCTTGAAATTAATAACATGTGTTTCGGCTATTTCCATTTTCTTCCCGTGATGTTTTGGATACTGGCAGGTCTTTGGAGCTTACCAGTATTTTCCCAAAGTGTAGCGATGGACTGGACAAACCGTTCTATTCTAGATCTGATCATCAGCGAGTTCTAACAGACCTGCCCTTGCCAGTATCAGATCCATTTCACAAACATTTTCCCTTGACAGGTGGTGATACATTAGGTGTGAACTGGTGTCAGCGTTGCAACTATTTAAGCACACAAAATCTACACATCCTCGATTACTTCCGCATTTTCCGCCTGTTATTGCGGAAATGAACAAAATGCAGCCATTCTATCTGCGAAGGTTATCTCGGCACAATGTAAATACGTTTTACGTTTTGTGTTGCAAATTTGCATACCAAATTAAATTAGGTAAACGACGCCAGAAAAATTAACTTAAATTTAATTAAAAACTTGAAGAAATAGTAAACGAGCAAAACATTTTTATTCTTAAAAGTATCCTGTTTTTTTGTACTTTGTTTATTTTACCTCGTTAAGCCTGATAAGTAGTTTCAGCTTCGATAAAATAACATCCAACATGTTTTGCAGAGCATACTGAAATCTGAAATTGACATCCTCAAACACAACATAAATTATGTCGTCTGCACACAAAAACTTGTGAAAAGAAAATTCGGTACATTTTGGTAAACTATTTCTTTGCTGAATCGTGTCATGACTTTTGAGGTGGTAATTACATGGTAAATGTATTCATAATGTATTTTAACTTTTTTACCGTTCTTGCCCGTTTATTTCAACGAATTTTCTTAACTGTTTAGCCATAACTTGACATAGCAACATTCACCGGAGCTGCTACTTTTTTTGTAACATCCCAATTTTAGGACAATATGTAGTGGATTTTAAGATATTCACTGTTTATCCCCAGCATTAAGTTAGTTTTGAAAATAGTTGCTCCCTGACAGTAATGATTTTTAGTTTTGTAGTAGGAAAGTTCGGAATCAGGAAAATGCATAAATTACGTCATACGCACAATTACAGTAGAATATTACCCTAATTATCGAACTCTTGTGCTTCGGAATCAACAGTACCCAAAAATGTTTTTCTTGATTTCGATAGACTAGCCCTAGTACTGAACAGGGATAGTGACCAAGACTCCAGATAACGTCAGACTTTTGAATAAAGCTCAATTCAAAACTGGGATAACCGCGCCTTTTTTTCAAGGACGCTTTACGTGGTATTTTCAAAGCATCGTAACTCCTTTTTTTTAAGCCAGAATTTAAATATTATGCCTTTTTTGAATAAAGGAAGCATGAATGAAAATCGTACTTTTGTTTCATGCTATTTGGATAACTGCGAAATTTTTGCGAGCCTTGAACAAAATGCTTAAATTTGACCTTAAAAAAGACGATCATGACAGCTTTAGACCGTCCAGGCAAATCGCCGCCCAATTTTTTCTTACAAAAGTACTATGAGCCAAACAAATTCGATTTTTGTTAATGGAATGGACTAATTTTGTCGCAGAATTCTGTTTCTCGCGGAAATTCGAGTGGTCGGTTCTTACACGGACCGCCTCTTAATGTCTCCCGATAATCTACAAATGTCCCTCACAAAAAAATAAATAAATAATAAAATAAAAAAAGAAATAATCAATCAAAAAGCTATGATTCATAAGCGAAAATTTGAAGATAAACCAACTAAGGAATTGCTAAGGATTGTTCATTACAATTTGTCGTACACACTTCAATGTTACCTTTGTGATGCAGCGTTTGTGGGATAAATGCGCTGACACTTAGATAGATAGATAGATAGATAACTTTATTTAAACACGGTTAAAATTCCTTCAGCGTGTACAAAAAATCTAAGATCTATTATGCCTAACTAAACCAACTCTGATTAAAAATATATTCATAAAATTTTAACTACCTAGCTATTTACAAACAAAAGCTGCTTTTCAAGGATGCCGTGTAAAACTGTATTAATGTATGGTCTCATTCAAAACTGTTGCGACACAGTTTTGCGTTTAAAATCATGTAAAGAATCTGCAGATCTTAAATCATGGGATAGGCTGTTCCACAGCTTAGCTCCGCTATAGGAGAAACTTTTCTTTAAATAATTGGTACGGGGCAGTGGAAGGACTAATTTATTTTCAGTATTCCTCAATCGATAAGAAGTTATTTCGTCACGAGATACAAATTTAGATGTTAGATAGTCGGGAGTCATCCCATGTACGGTTTTATACATCATAATAGCCGTCGATACTTGTCTTTGGTTTTTAAGCTTACGCCAACCCAGTGCCAGGAACAAATCGTCCACATTACAATCAGAATTGGCGGACATTAGATTACGGGCTGCACGATTTTGGAGCCTCTGTAGCTTATCGGAAAGACCAATGCCGCAGTTGCTCCATACGACACTACAGTAATCAAAATGCGGTTGAATTAAACTGTCGTAAACATTAATTAATGCATTAAAAGGAATAAGATGTCGTATTCTTTTAATTGCACCCAAAGCAGAAGCAATCTTTTTACAAATGCTCTGTATGTGGCATTCCCAGCTTCAGTTTTGGTCAATATGCACTCCAAGAGATTTTGCCGTTGACACTTGCATCACGGGATGGTCGTTTATCATAAAAGAAGGAGTTTCAGAAAGCTTTGATAGCTTCTGCCTCGACCCAACTAACATAAACTCAGTTTTAGTCAAATTAAGGGTCAGTTTGTTAGCCGATAGCCATATATACACCTTGTTTAAATCGTCGTTAACTTCGAGCAACAACATTCGTCCTGTTTATGTTACGACACAAAAGGAGCAACAGTTAACCCCCCGCATTTAACCCATGCTAGTCAAGCCGTTTTCTGGTGACTCTGGTTATAAAGAAACAATACTGCCCAAAACGCCGTTTTAGATTGAGCACTGTACGGGTGTCTGTTCCAGATGCCAGTTGTCAGCTGCCAAAGTTCAGTTATATGCAAAAAGCAAAATTCTGAGTAGTCTCGACTTTGACCTTTCCTTTTCTACTGTCCCCTCTTCTTTCACTTTTCTTGTTTTTGTTTTCTTTGTTTATTGTTTTTGTTTTGCTAGACAACTCATTTTCATTTCAATGGGAAATGTTTTGGAAAACTTTTTAGGATGGTATGATTATTTGGAAGGAGCACAGGAGTGTAGTGGAACAAGATTTTATCGGAATTGTTGGACCTCCTTGACTGAATTGTGGTCATTTTGGCATGCTTGAAAAGATCTCTTTCCCCTGTACAAGTTAGATGGGAAAGCTTTCATTGGGCGTTGAATCTGATGTTGTAGTCGTAAGCGATGCAAGGGACGTGGGTCCCTTCAGGTGGTTTATTTGGGTGGTTGTGTGATGATGTATGCTGATTATACCTCGCTGATGACCTCGCAGCTCTTGACGAAAAGTTAAAATAAAGACACAGATGAGGTGTAAAAGTGGCTACAATCCAGTAAACTCGCATTAAAGGAACTATGTCATCCCCCGTGGAAACCAACCTGAAATAGGCGGCCTGACATTTTCAAGTTCTGTAAGAGATTTTGGAAGGCTGTTGTTGTCTGTTTAAATCTCAGCCATCGTTTGATGGTTCGCAGAGTTTTTTGTTAAGAATCTTCCTACAGTGAAGCCCTTTTTGCGTTATTTTTGAAGTTGTTTGCACTTAGAATTTTTCTACGTTAATTTACGGTGTCCTCTTACGACAGCCGTACTGGCAGTGGCCAAAAGCCGAGAAGTCATCGCTGCTACTCCACAATGAGTAATGGAATCTTAGATGGAATTTTTCCTCATGGTTCACTGAACCTTTCAGTTAAGTTATTTTAGAGGCTGCGGGCTCTTTTTTGAGCTCAAAAAAATGTGAAAATATTGTGAAGCGCTTTGAAGCGAATACGACAGCATCGTCACGAAACTCGA